CACCCTTCAAAGAAGCATAACACCCATATAAATCGTATAGACTATAGTATAAGCCCTTGTCGTGTGTGACCTAACTAAAACTATAGCTATATAGTAGATATAGTAGAGAGAGAGAGAGAGAGACCTGAGTGGCCTACAACTAACTACTCTTTATACACTGACTCGCTCGCTCACTCACTCATCCATCCATTCATACAGTGCAGTGGTTGCTTTGGCCAATTTTCTGATAGTAGGGTTTTTTGGTTTGTTTATTGTTTCATTGCAAGTTTCTCAACTTAATGTGGATTGTTAATTGAAACTGACTTTTTTCACTCTTTTAAGAGAATTTGGATGGCCCTGAAAAGGGCCGTTTAGTTGGAGGTTTTTCGGCCAAGTCTAAGCTGAAGATGTTGAACTTAGGCCTTTTTAGCAGCGGTCTTTTTTTTTGGTGAAGCCTTTTTGGGTTTGACAGTTTTAACCTTTTTGGGCGTTTTCACCTTCTTGGGAGCAGCTTTTTTAGGTTTGGCAGCTGTCTTCTTGGCACCGGCGACTTTGGTCTTTTTGGGTGTAGCTGTCTTCTTGGTGGTAGTTTTCTTGGCTTTTGGCTTCTTTGGTGTAGAGGCTTTCTTGGCAGCAGGCTTCTTGGCGGCGACTTTTTTCACCTTGCTGGGTTTCTCGCTTTTGCTTTCACCGAGTTTGAAGGAACCGGCAGCCCCAGTGCCTTTCGACTGCTTCAGGGTACCAGCTTTGACGCCGTTTTTCAAAGCGTTCTTTATTCTGGAGTTAACTGCTTTCAGGTCTGTGCCGACTTTGTAGTTTGCCATGACGTACTTCAAAATGGCTTGTCTGGAGGAGCCGNCCCTTTCCTTCAAGGAAGCGACTGCAGCCTTGATCATATCTACATATTTCGGGTGAGCAGCTGGCACCTTAGGCTTGGCTGAGGTCTTCTTCTTGGGTGATTTGTGAACGGGAGCTACGGCTGCGTCAGTCATCTTGGATTGCTTCTTGCGAACGTCGTTCTTCTTCTGTGTACGAG